AGATACGTCACTGCCCATTTGAGTCTTCCATTTAGTTCCGGGTACGGCATGATGTCATGCGGTACCCGGAACGAAATGGACCAATCCCGAAGAGCTATGGCCACACCCAGCGGCGCTGGCCGCACCCTCTGCCAGCCTAACATTTACTGTTGGAAGCTCTGGTTCAGTTCACAATCGATCCAGTCATGCCAATGCCAAGGACCTGTTTCCTGAAATGTGAGGAGAAATCTGAGCTGTTTGTCCTACCGACGGAAGAACCATGACGAAGTCAGTGGTTGAAATTTCTGTTTAAGACTGTTCCTTCAGAGGTTCAAAGAACGTTACTGTGTGCGCGGCATTTCACAGACGAAAGCTTCCAAAACATTGCCCAGTTTGAGGCCGGATATGTACAGCATTTGAAACTGAAGGACGATGCTATTCCTAGTTTGTTTAGACCGTTTGGAGCAGGGGAAGATTCGGGTACACAACCTGTAAGTTTGCATTGTTATTTGTGTATTTATCAAACAAGGTATCTACCACGACTGTTTAAATGTGTAAACGTGTGTCGGACTGCTAGCGTTTCCATATATAAACTCTAATATCAGCAGATGGCCTTACATACATGTATCTCATAGCAGGAGAATGTCTGCATTCACACACGAAATGCTCATAGACAGTATACTCCGGGTGATTTACCGTACGGTCAGTCGCGAAACGTAATTACATTATAGCTGACGTTCCTAGCGTGTATGCTACCGAGCTAACCAACGGAGCTAGACATGGGTTTGCTCGGGAAAACACTTGACACAGTGCTTACTGGGCTAACGACGTTGCTAGCATTTAAATATATCAACTATAATGTCAGCAGATGGCCTTACATGTTTGTCATGGCAGGAGAATGTCTGCATTCACACACGGAATACTCATACAGTATACTCCGGGTGATTTACCATACGGTCAGTACATTACAGTTGGCTAGCTAACGAGGCTAGCTATACATGCTAGCGGAAAACATTGTATTCATGCCAGTTACAATGAATGACCGAACGTAGCAGACTACCTGTATAAGATTGCAATTATAAACACGTTATTGCTAGCCTAATATGAACCACTAACTTTTGTTCATAGTAGTTTTATTACACTACATTATAGTTGCCGTTCCTCCGAGATACCGTTCATATCGTGTTTGCTACCAAGGTAAACAAGAAAGCTAGGTTAGCATATTAGCTGGCAAGCTTACTGTGTTGATTAGATAGATGGATTAGATAGATCCACACTCCTACCACAACTACTACTAACGAATCTAAAACAACTAAGTTTCTCTAATATTTTGTGATTTGCATTTGATTTCGTCCAGCCAGATCAGGAAACTCCTGGCGTATCTGGCGGACAACACACACACGGGATGACCCACTCTGATGCCTCGTCCTAAAAAGCCCCGGCAGCCGCTTACAAAGCTGCGATAGGCAAGATGCCGAAAACGCCTATAAGGGCAGGAATGGATGATATACAGTGTATATATGTATATTTACGCATGTTCATTTTGTACATTTCTAAAAATAAAGTTTGATGGAAATACTTAGTAGGCCTATCCTTTCTTCCCTGAATTATTTGCTCCCATAACTTATCATTCATATATAGCAAACCATGATTTGATTTCTCATCAAACAGTAGTAGTTTATTACAGGTAAAAATAACTTACTCTTCTATAACAACAGTTGTAGGTACAGTTCGGTTAGTTAGCGTATAAAATATACGGCTGTACCGACGCCATTATAAGACTGATGTTCCGAGAGCGAGCCGAAAAAAGCACTGTTACGGCCCCTACACACGGCGGCGTGTGTTGACGCTTCAACGCTTCTGCCCATTAACTTTGAATGGGTTGACGTCACGATTCGCCAAACTGCATTGTGGGAGCAAAGCGTAGCTTTTCTCGCGGTGCTCGCTGCAAAAGTAGAGCAATGTTCTACTTTTGAAGCTGAGGCGGAGGCGTCAGCCAATCAAATCCCCCGTATGCAAATCTGCCAGTACAAGCGCTAGCCAATCAAACCGCCTGTATGCTGGGAGAGCCAGACCGCAGTTCATTTCCTCATATGCCAAAAAATGGAGGAGAAAATACAAACCGGAGGAGCCAGGCATGGAGGGAGGTGGCAGAGACAGTGGGTGAAACTGGTAGGTTTTCGCCTGTTTGGGGAGTTTATATCCAGTGTACTTCGTTTGAATGGACAGCTAGCAGGCATAGACAGTATTTAGCCAGCATGGAATGTTGTATAAAATAGCACCATAGACATTAATTAAAAATCGCTTTTTAGACATGAATGTCTATGGTGAGATTCATACACGGGAGCCTTTTTAAAGCCTTTTTACCCGGGGGAGACACGGGAGATTCATGTGATTGGTTGTTGGTCGCGTTGCTCGCGTTAACTCCCCAAGCTCAAGACACGCCCACCGCCAAGCGGCAACGCACGCCGCCGTGTGTAGGCTGCGTTAGACATGGGCGGAGCCTCTCTGGTGGTTGACTAATCAGAACAGAGTGACCGAGCTGACCAATCAGAGCACACTAGGCTCACAGGGAGGGGGGGGGCAAGAGCTCCAACGAGTCGTTTAGTGGAGAGAGTGAATACTGCTGAATACACATACTTTACAGAGATGCTGTATGCGAAACCAATGTGAGTTTGGAAAATTGCACAGTATAAATCTATTTTAGTATACCTCAACAATGTAATTATGATCAGTGGAAATGGCCATGACATGGGCCCTTTAAGAGGTTAAACAGCAGGAAATGTACTCTTACAGCATCCATGAGGTTTTCTCCTTCTAATGCTACGTGGCTTCACGCCATCTGCTTTAAAAAAGGATACTAATGATACCAGGCTAGTGTTATCCATGACACTGCTGAGAAAATATAATTTTTATAAAGCAATACTTTGTAAAAGGAACATTATACAGCTTTATCCCACAATTTAGGTGACTGTAATGTGTAGACATAATCCAATTGAATCAACAACAAAAAAATCCATAATCGCACACAGGGCCGTCCCTCCCTACAGGAAGATCACGCAGACTGCGTGGGGCCTCACCTCGCGGAGGGGGCCTCATCTTGCGGAGGGGGCCTCATCTTGCGGAGGGAGCCTCAACTGAGCTGCAAATGCGGCGCACCTATGCGTTTATGCGGCGCAATTAGTGTCGACGCTCAGGAAACAGAGGGCCTCATCATCTAACTTTGCGTGGGGCCTCAAGTTGGCCAAGGACGGCCCTGATCGCACACATACAGTATTAACATGGTTTATTTTTACTTTAGAAAAATGTGTCTTATATTTTGAATACTGCCACAAACTCTTTGTGAGTAGTGAAATTACATTTACAGAAATACTATTGTGGGTTTGTTAGACTGTATTTAGTCACATTAATGCTTTGAGCTAAATGCTAACATGCTACAATGACGATGCATTCTGTTAACATAACATGTTAGCATCTTAGCCTGAGGGGATAACATATGTTTGCTCGTATGTGTGCATCTCTGCGTGTATCTATCCACATTTCATCTCTGGACCCATCGGTTTAATATATTTCGAACACTTTTATGACTTTATGCTCAAGGACCTTTCATTGTTGCGGTAATTCCCAGTTCTTAAAGGTCTTTCATACCATCATTGTCTACTGACTTCTAACTTCCCCTAACCATTTGCCTTGAAATAGATCAACAACTGCTTCAGTAACAAAAAGCAAAAAACTATCCTTACCTAGTCTTTTGCCGGCACATTCTGGCATTATCACGGCTCAAAAAATTACCTTCATAAAAAAGTTTGGCCTTACTTTGAACAGGAGTATCTCTAGATTAACTGCAGATTAATTCCATACTTCCTACTAAAGCTAGCAAAGCCATGAGAAGAACACATCCTATTTTTCTTTCTTATGTTATTTGTTTAGTCACAATATAGTGGTACTCTACCTATAGTAGATCTATAGATTAAATATCAAGGAATTACAAAAAACTCAAGAAATCATCTTTTGGGAAACATTGGATATCTGTCTTGAATTTCATGGCAATCCATCCTTTAAGTGAAACACTGGTGTTGCTATCTATAAAAAATGCATCGTGCAGTCAACGCTGATCGGCACAGTTTGATTACAGTCCCAAAATGAATGTAAATGATTGGTATTAAAATGCTAAACATAGCTCATTGATAGGGCATAATATGGATTGGGATCTGGGGGATATAGGGGGCGGATGACATGCAGGAAGGAGCCACAGGTCGGACCAAACCCCATTACTGCTGCAAGGGTTAAACTCTTTTCAAACGAGCCCCACTCCACCAGGTGGGCTTCCATGGTGGCCTTATCATCGCACCTTAAAGCCCGTCACACTGTCCCGAAATTGGCACCAGATGGACACACGATAGAGGAAATGTTCAAATTCGGCTCTGATCGTAACAACATCAGGCCATTCGTGAGGGCATCTAAGCCATCGTATGACCGCCGGTGGAGTTTCTCAGGCTCCGGTGGCAACATCTTTGGCATGCCAAAAAATTGCCGAAGGACCTTGCGAAGGTTCATTTTCGTGTTGCATTCGTGTGTCCATTTTGCCCTTCGTAAGGTACTCGTGAGGGCATCTTAAGCCATCGTATGACCGCCGGTGGAATTTCTCAGGCTCCGGCAGAAACTTCGTGAGTGGTGGCAAAATCTTTGGTATGCCAAAAAATTGCCGAAGGACTTTGCGAAGGTTCATTTTCGTGTTGATTTTGTGTGTCCATTGTGCCCTTCGTAAGGCACTCGTGAGGGCATCTTGTCAAATCGTGTCATCTTCGTCTGATCATCGGTGCCATCGGGCTTGTGTTCTGTGAAACTGAAAAGGATATTACATTGTTTTTGTTACTTTCGTTACAGTTGTATGTCTTAAATGTAATTTAGGTTAACTTCCTGTTTTATTTAGATGCTTTTATTTTGAAGGCGAGTTTACGCTGTTGACAGGAAGTTGTTGTTGCTATGGAAACAACATGACGGAGAACAAAGTCTGAAAATATCACTGACAATTTTTATTACATACAATCTCAAGTTTCTGTGTGATTTTTTTATTGTCTTCATGTGGCACTAAAGCTGAGAGATCTTTGTTGATATTGAGGCTGTCCTGGGTCACATTGTGCTGAGACTGCTGAGCTGGAAGAGGAGGCGGAGGAGGACCCTGGACTGGCTGCTGGGGTGATAGCTGCCAAGGACCACTGATTTGCTGCTGAGGAGGCTGAGAAGGAAGTTTGAAGAATGCAGCCTGGCGAGGAGAAGGAACGTAGCACTGAGTAGAAGTGCTGGCTGGCTGGAGGGTATGGTACTGCTGCTGTTGCTCCAAGTTGTGCTGCTGGTTCACCTGCTCTACGTAGCCACACTCCTGGGATCTCCACACTGATGCCGGAGGTGGGTTCCTAGGCCACTGGCTGGGACCTGGCTGGAACTCTGCTGACGGTGAAGAGGCAGCCCTGCTGGCGGAGTAGTAGGTACCGCTGGGGAGGGCATCTCCTGTTGATGTTGGCTGACTCTTGAGTAGGTGGCAGATGTGCAGACTGGGATCATAGCAACTGGCCTCTGCGGCTGCTGCGACTGGAATGCTGACGGGACATCTACGAAGGGACTGATCTGGTCACCAGCCGCTTCCCTCATCCTTAACTGTCTGGACATCTTCCGGTAACTGGAAAGACAAAAACAAACAGCATAGGATTAACCTGTTACGCACGGCCCCCCCCGGTACCGGGCGGATAAACGCGTCATTTGCAGGAAACAACGTCTAAGGAATCTTAATATTTAATAAAACTATGAATGTTTTATATCCATGTAACGGGAAGAAACTCAGCTAACTGATCTTTTTAATTTTTTTTCCCAAAAAAACCCCACAATGCTAGCACTCAGCCTCTGAATTAGCCACGAGCGAAAAAATTTAACCTAAAACGGCACTTAAACTCACAATAACTCCCTTATTACTTATCCTAGATGCACAGCCAACCACTCGTTTTTGGTGTCCTGGAGACACTGAATCTAGTGGTGCCCACCTCAACACTCAGTGATAAACATTTACGACGCTATAAACGAAAGCGTACATCATAACATGTGGAGCTAAGTAGCTAGAAACGCTAACATGGCTTACCTTGGTCAAAACTGGTCTTCAATGGCATTAAAACGATAAAAAAACGATGCTGCAGTTAATCCATAGGTTCATCCAATGTATCTGTGCCCTCTTTGAAATTATTTCTGATAATACATAAGCAATAAAACTGCTTTTTTGTTTCCAAATGCCAGAGCTAGAATGTAGCTCCACTCTGCTTTACATTTACATGCGCGCAGCCCCCACCTTTTCTCTTCACAATGTGTGTGTGTGTGAGCCTCCCCCTTCGATTCTATTGGCTCTAACGGTCAGAAAGAGGTGTCAACCATCAACATCGAGCAAGGGGGGCCAGAGATATAGAAAAAAAAACATTTTCACCCAAATCACCTCAGAGGTGGGGTGGTTTTGGCTAAACCTCTCTAAAAAGGTCAAATGTCACTTGTTTTGCATCAATCTTGATACATGGTACTTATTATATGTTGTACTTTGGATTCCTAAAGCTTTTAGTCTACTAACCCATCATCCAAGGGTAGTTTTCACTTTCTGTAAAAAATAATTTTTGGACGGACACTATAATTTACAGTTTTTTACTATGTAAAATCTGAATTTTCTTTCAAATAAAAAACATTTATATATATTATATTGATTCTGACACCTCTACATCCAACTCACAGATGTAACCTTGCTTTGATAAAAGAAATTATTCATATAACCCTTTTAGAAGTTAAGTTGTAGTCATTTGTTTTGGGCATGTCATTTTCGAGCCTGAAACATGAAAAACAGGCTTGGTGCTTAACAGGTTAATACAAACTCAAATTTAGCATGCAACAAAATGTGTGACATTAAATAAATGAATTTCAAATGTATGCAATTTTATATACTTACTGGTTAAGAACTGTGGTGATCTCCTCATACGCAGGTTCCAGGAAGGCATCATGCAGACGATCCAGTTCAGTTTCCAGGTACTTGCAGAAAGGAGTGGCCCTGTTGACTTGCTGCTCTCGAGTGATGAACTGAACCAGCCTTGGAGATCACGGGATGATGCTCCGGTAACTCTCATCTCCATGGTAGGAGACTCGGATTGGTCCTCAGCAGCTGTTCCTGTCCTGGAAGGAGGTCTCGGTGTAGGGTAGCCAGTGTACTTCTTGGTGGGCTCCCTGGGTTCTTCTGCAAGACTGCCTGCCATGGTACTGTTGTCACTCCCAGCCAGCTCACCCGTCTTAGCCAGGGCCAACTTGTCCTTAAACTGCAAAGACAAAAATAGAAAACAAACATAAGTACATTTGAAAGTTATATTTGGAAACAACAAAAAATGTGGAAAATTGAACATTTTCGACAAAGTTCAGTTTGAATTTAATTTCAATGATATACTCACACTAGCTGGTGTATCCTTCTTGTGACGTCTGATGTGTGGCTTCAGAAACCCAAAGACCCGGCGGATGAACTTGCCACGGTCACTGTCATTCTCACTGGCCTCCTCAGCAAGGATGGGGTCTTCCTCGTCACCACTCGACAGACCATCACCGGACCTCTTCTGGGATTTCTTCTTGGGTTGGCCCTCCCGCAGCTTCGAGAATCGAGTCCTCTGTGTGTGGTACCATTTCAGAATTGAATGATCTGCAATGACAGAAATCAAAACAAATAATTAGTACAATCATTGAAATGTTCATTGACAGCAATGTATGTCAAGTAATTGAAATGTAAAAATGTTTTATACTTACAATCCAACCCGTACTCCGCAGCCTTTCCCTCCCATAGATGCCTCCTTTATGCCTTGTCTTTGTACTGTTTGTCCTTCATGTCATACAGTAGCTTGTTACTCTCCACCCAGCGAGCGATTGCCTCCTCCTGCGCCTCTGTGAAGCTGTATGATGCACCAGGGGGTGGGTTCTCCTTCTGGGCCTTGCCTTTCCCTTTGCCCACTTTAGGCTTGGACTTGCCTGCAGGGAGGGCGGGGGAGGCTGACTCATCTGAAAAGATACCAAATGGAGAAAAAAATTAAGTACAACAATGTATGGGAATATATAACAAAATAAATTACCCCTCTTGCCCCCCATCCAGGGTTTGAGTTATGTGGGAGCCAATGGGAGCTGAGCTCCCATAAGGAGGGGTCTGAGCTCCCACGGACGCAGTGAAATCATACATCTGTGGGGGTCGCTAATACATTACCAACAACCATTATTTTAATCACAAATAATGTATGTGTCAATGTAATGAGTATTATTTACGTTAACGAGGTAAATAGGCTAAAAGAAAAACATGTTTTCCAAAAGAACTACGCATCTCTTGAATGACAATATGCCTGCGCTGCACCTCCAAGGTGCGCAATACATTATTGCGCAATCTATGCCTGTGAGCGTGCTGCGCGAGCCGAGATGATGTGTGTGTGCGTAGTTTAACCTTTTCATATTTAAGTTTGTAGCAAGTAGAGGGCTGCTGCTGTGTGTGTGTGTGTGTGTGTGTGTGTACGTGTGTGCGCGTTAGTTTTAAAGACCCCCATAGAGCTCAGTTTATAACTCGAACCCTGCCCCCATCCATACCAAAAATAAGTTAGAAATATTTACCTTCATCATCCGAAGATTCGGGATGTCTGTTACGAGGAAGAGGGGGAGAAGGTGAATGCTGCAGAGACTCTTGGGTAGGGATAGATATCGTTAGGATTTTATCGATACCGATACTGCTTATCGATACCGGTATTTTTCGATACTCTTATCGACACTTTTCAATAATTTGGTGCTCAAAATTATAGACATGATTACAAGATGTGAAGATTAAACAACAGTCATTTTATTGCAATTTATTTGTATTTATTATTTAATGTAACTTTTTCAATGTCATACCAAGCAGGTATGAGTGTGTTTGACAGTGTGTCTCTGTAAGGGGGGCGGTAATTAGGGGCAGTTCATAAATCCATGTAAACATGACCATTATTCAGTTAAAGCTCCCATGTCATGCTTTTCCGGTTATTACCCGTCCCCTTGTGTGTTATGAAGGTTTTTATGCATGTAAACGGTGTGCAGAGTCAAAACCCTCAAAGTACACCCTGTAGCGAGTAAAACTCTAACACAGAAAATACCTCCCCAAAACGCCTCGTTGGAGATACGTCACTGCCCATTTGATTCTTCCGGGTACCGCCTGATGTCATGCGGTACCCGGAACGAAATGGACCAATCCCGAAGAGCTATGGCCACACCAGCAGCGGCGTGTTCCTCCTCCAGAGGTTCGAAGAACCGGCATTTCACAGACGAAAGCTTCCAAAACATTGCCCAGTTTGAGGCCGGATATGCACAGCTTGTTTGGACCGTTTGGAGCAGGGGAAGATCTGGGTATACAACCTGTAAGTTTGCATTGTTATTTGTGTATTTATCAAACAAGACTGTTTAAATGTGTAAACTGTGTTGGACTGCTAAGCCATTGACACAGTGCTAACTGTGCTAACTAAGTTGCTAGAGTTTCCATATATCAACTCTAATATCAGCAGATGGCCTTGCATACATGTATCTCATAGCAGGAGAATGTCTGCATTCACACACACGGAATACTCATACAGTATACTGTACTGTGATTTACCGTACATTGTGACCGTACATATACTGCATGTAGCTAACGAGGCTAGCTGTATGCTAGCGCAAAACAATGTATTCATGCAAGTTACATTGTATGGTAGCAGAATACCCGTATACGATTGCAATTATAAACACGTTATTGCTAGCCTAATATGAACCACTAGCTTTTGTTCATAGTAGTTTTATTACACTGCATTATAGTTGCCTTTCCTCCAAGCTAACGTTCATATCGTGTTAGCTACCAAGGTAAACAAAGCTAGGTTAGCATATTAGCAGGCAAAGCTGTTCATTACACAACTACTACTAACGAATCTAAAACAACTAAGTTTCTCTAATATTTTGTGATTTGCATTTGATTTCGTCCAGCCAGATCCTGGCGGACAATCCATGACGTGCTAAAAGGCACTTCTACTACTACTGAGGCGTCGTGCTAAAAGGCACCGCACCGACTGTGCGCAGGCAAGATGCGAGGAGGAGGAATGGATGATATACCGTGTATATATGTATATTTATGTTCATTTTGTACATTTCTAAAAATAAAGTTTAATGGAAATACTTAGTAGGCCTATCCTTTCTTCCCTGAATTCATATATAGCAAACCATGATTTGATTTCTCATCAAACAGTAGTAGTTTATAACGGGTAAAAATAACTTACTCTTTGTTATGAGCGGCTCGTAGGCCACAAAGACAAGGAGACATACACGAGTTTACAAAACCACGGCACATTTATTGTGGTAAATGCAGAGATAGGTGGTTGAGAGGATCGCAGAGTTAGTCTTCCTGCAGCCGCTTTGGAGAGAGACTGGGGCCGTAGTGTCCGGAGGTGTCCGTGATCGTGCTGATTAGCCTCTTCAGCTCCACCCCATCGTAAGACAAAGGCCCTGGGGCCGTCACACTCTTCTATAACAACAGTTAAAAATATATATGTATATAAAATATACGGCTGTGCCGACGCCATGATAAGACTGATGTTACGCTGAGAGCAGCCGGGAAAAGCACTGTTAGACATGGGCGCAGCCTCTCTGGTGGTTGACTAATCAGAACGAGTGGCCGAGCTGACCAATCGGAGCACACTAGGCTCACAGGGAGGGGGGGGCAAGAGCTCCAACGAGTCGTTTAGTGGAGAAAGTGAATACTGCTGAATACACATGCTTGACAGAGATGCTGTATGCGAAACCAATGTGAGTTTGGAAAATTGCACAGTATAAATCTATTTTAGTATACCTCAACAATGTAATTATGATCAGTGGAAATGGCCATGACATGGGCCCTTTAAAACGAGACGCTGCGTGCGCACCCAACCCAGTCTCACGACATTTAATCTATTGATTCCTGTTCACCAACACGATTTTCCCCTTTTTTTCGTGTCACACAGAACGATTTTAAAAGCAATGTATTTCTATTGGTAGTATGTTTCGTGCCTGCAAGACGTCTTTTTGTCCGGTCGGGTCTTGGAAGACCGGAAGCTGTGGGGTTCATAAAAACATCTTCTTACTCAATATCAAGCCACGATTATTGTTTTTATTTCAAATCGTATAATGTCGGACTTTTTTTGTGGTCTGTGAGGAAAAGAAATGGGGCTCAGAGCCTCAGGATACTGAAATCTAATTACGTTTCGCTATTCGTATTTTCTCCCACGTTACGTTTGTTATGAACGTAGCTCAAATACGTTTATTTTCTACATATCTTTGTCATTTATTTTCTAGCTTATAATAATGATAATAGTATTTTATTAATATCATTTTAGAGCAAACTTATTTTTCGCGCTGGCGGCTCACTGTTCAGTTGACCAAATCTGTTATTATGCTGGTTAATGGTTAAATAATCACAATATTGTTTGTAGTCGTTTCATACTGCATTCTCAATTACGTTTAGCAAGAAACGTATTTTCTCCCACGTTATGTTTGTTATGAACATATCTCAAAAACGATTAAGTTCTACATATCTTCTAGAAACCTATTTTCTCTGTTACGTTTGTTATGAACGTATCTCAAATACGTTTATGTTCTATATATTTGCCATTTATTGTCTTGCTTATAATAACGATAATAGTAATTTATTAATATAATTTTAGAGTAAACTTATTTTCGGGCTGGCGGCTCACTGTTCAGTTTACCAAATCTGTTATTATGCTGATTAATGGGTAAATAATCACAATATTGTTTGTAGTTGTTTCATGTCTTAAATACACACTTTTAAATTGTTATCATCCAAAAAGCCTCTTTCGCTGGTACATGAAGGCACTGTGGGTTATTCAAAACCATTCTATTTATTCTAACGTAAATTACATGCCAGTGTTTTATCTTTTTATTTAGCGATTTGTTATTGCATGTTTAACTGGGAATGTTTTCACGTGGAACCGGAAGTACGTCACTTGACTTCGTCTTCTTCGTCCCTTTTACGTTCCAGACAATGCATGGCTCAGCGTAACAGACAGAACAGCGACCCCAGGTGTGTCTACATTGGAATTACATCTTCATTACTGAAGGAAAATACTTTACCTAGTGTTTGTTAACTGGGTTTTTAATAAATTACTATTATCATTATTATAAGCAAGACAATAAATGGCAAATATATAGAACATAAACATATTTGAGATACGTTCATAACAAACGTAACAGAGAAAATAGGTTTCTAGAAGATATGTAGAACTTAAACGTTTTTGAGATATGTTCATAACAAACGTAACGTGGGAGAAAATCAAGCGGCAAACTCTGGGGAAGAGCCGGGATGCCAATAAGGAAGTGCCACAAACTGCAGTTCATATATTGGCCGATAGGCGCTGACTGCAGAAAGGAGCAATTTCCATAGACCTCCATGTTAAAATGCCCAATTTTACAGTCTAAAAAAACATGTTTCTACCCATGGATCCAATAAATATTATTATAGATATAGTTAGATTCCACCTTCATGATTATGAATCTGTGAGTGAATTGTTTTCTAACGCAAAACCCTTTTATTTATATTAGGTCTTAACGTTTTTGCATAAATGAGGGCGTGGTCACATTGAGTGACAGCTCTGTCAAGTCACTACTGCTGTTAGCTTCTTGTCTCTCTGCTAGCTGCTCCGTGAAGCTACAGGGACTCTGCCTGCTCAGTTCATCCAGGGAACACAACTTGACCCCGGCCGTGTTTGTTTGTTCTTCATGCTTATATATCGGACTATTGTGACTCGCTCTGCGGTTAAAACAGACGGTGCATGAATGCGGGTTTTGCGGTAAGTGAAATTCGAGAACTTTATTTATGTGTTTATGATTTTAATCAGCTACGTAATGAATGTGTTAGCGTGTAAGCGAGTGGTAGATGCTAACGATGCTAATCGTAGCCTCCAAGTTAAAACCATAGACTGTATATATAAAGGTTAAAACGAAATAGACAAGTGTTAAGCGTTAAGTGAGATAGTACTGTAGAACAAAAGGCTTCTGTTTGAGGTTGATAAAATAAGGTCATCCTTGTAACTTAGAGAGATATTTTATTATGTAGGTAGGAACTTTATGCATCGCTAAGGTTAATTTAAATTGGCTATGCTCGAGTATGTAGACAAGCTAATGTTGAAGTAGTGTATGTGAAATCAACCTCACAATAAGATGTGTGTATATTACAATTATTAATGTCATATTTCAAGATGATTACTTAGATATTACAATATGGTTGGTTGAGCTGGAGTTCATTATTGAGCTTACACGTTAACGTCACAGTCACCTGAAGAACGAAGCCAAACCTTGTTTTTATTAATTGCATTACTAAATTAGTATCAAATAAATAGTAAGCATTGGTAACACACTTCCAAAGTTACAGTAAAATAAAAAGGACCCTGACTCGGACAATACACAATCCAACATGTTCAACAGAAGAGAATAAGTTATATTGTTTTTACACATGGTACTTTACATATATATCTGTTTGTTTAAAGTGTCCAGGTGATGCAGACAGGCTGGACCAGAGAGTGAGAGACAGAACTGGACTCCTCACAGCAGTGAACTTCAGCACAGGTACAACGACTCTTCTTTTCATACTGTACAAATAATCAAGAAAGATATTGGTTTAAATAAATGAAGTATTGACTTTAATACACTGATATA